CTGTAAACACAACACAAACCCGAGAAACTTGTATTAAAATTGCGCCGTGATGAATTTTCCAATTCGTCCAAACTTCGAAACGTTTAATATACTCTAACTTGGCTATACTTTTCTACATGACAATGAGAGCTTAATCTTTTAGAAGTTTTCGTCGAAGTCATGGCATATAGGAAGTATCGAAGAGCAACATTTGGACATATCCTGGTTCCCGATTGATTGTTTGTCATTGTTATAAACAAAAATTTAAATTTCGCTTACTGCATTGCTTTAGCACTTTATATTCACCGATTGTTTGTTGAACATGCGAGAAGATGATAACAATATTATTGTACGTAAACATCGTGAAGTTCAACGCTATAGTTTCCAAAATATATCCACGCAAGTAAACAAATTTCAAGTTTCAACCCAAACAATATATTCCAATGCATGTGCAAGGGCTTTTCCCAGTAGCTAATCTCTCAATATATAAGGCGGCTTCCAATTGGCTCTAATGTTTTTGAACACTGCCAGATGATTGGCTCGGGTAAAACAAAGGGAATTGAATATGCAGCTCGGGTAAGCAGACGGTAGTATTTCGTCGCTTGGCGTAAGAACTACAACGTCTGTGAGCAGGCTAGGTATAGGTAGCCGAAACGTCAGAAACAATTACTGAAAAATTTTAATCTGGGTGATCGTACAATTATAACATTCATGCAATGTATTGATTATATTCAAGTGTGACTCGTGTGTTTTGGCCTGTTTTAATTGCAGACCCAAATAGAACACAATATCTCTCTGAAGAATTTCAATACAGTGCATCTATGGCTAACTAGTTGCAAGCTTGTGGGGGAGTACAGACATCCTGTCTCTATAGGAATTGAAATTTTTATTAATTGCCGCCACCCTTTTTCTGAACAAAGAAAATTAAAAACAAAGTACTTATTTCAAATAAGTAAACTTAGTGCTTTTATTATGAAAGTACATGCAGGAGCTAGGAAACCTTAGTTTGCTTATATACTATCAGTTCTAAACTCTTCCCCCCAAAGGTCCAGTAAGGAAATCCGTCCATAAATTCGTTGGTACATGCATGTTGTACTAGCAAGTCAGTTACCGTTCGTACAATCCTGCATGCTCGCTGCATGCATAACTTTCTGTATGCATGGAAGTTGGTGACCGTTGGTCAAAGGAATGAAAAATATTGTTTGAGTGACTTCATCATTTTTGAACCTTTGAAGAGACTAACATTTTATTCGCCTGTAATGTCATTAGATTTATTTTATTTACATATAAAAAGAAACTAAAATATCTCGAGAACAAAAACGATAAGCTGTACATATAGAGTAAATTATTTTACAGATCCCTATGCCTAAAGGAGACTTAAATTTCGTTGCCATGCAATATAGTAAACTCTCCTGTTTTCTCTGCCATGCCTTTGGCCAATATCGCAGAAGACAGGACCGACTTCATGTAGACATTCAGGCACTTACGCTGAAGCTGAGTTTCTCACCTTTATTTCTACAGGGTGTATCAAAATAAACGCAATTCATCTTTGGTCCTTAATAACTTTCGAAATACTATTTCTAGTTAAACGCTTTTAGGCTTACTTCAAAGCCTGTTTTTTCTCTTTCAAAGAAACTATTATCCTTGTCTCCAATGCTAGTAATAATTACACAGGAAAAGGTTTAGTAAAATCTATCATTTTTAGTTGCTGTTTAATTATGCAAGTTTACTATGTTATTGTTTATTCGGTTTAAATGTTAGAATTTTCTTCTTTAAATTTTAATGTTGTCGTCACTACATCTGGAAAACCACGTAAAAACAAATTAAAAGTATTTTAAAAGAGACCAGGTTGTTTGAAAATCCTAAACGAATGCTAAAAATCGTCAAAACATTTGGTGTCTGAGCCAGAATGTCATCGAATTGCGATGTAATGTAAACAGAAATTATAGCAAGTTGATGCCAGTCAGCTTAGATGGTCCAAGCCAAAATTATATCGCATTTGAAATTTCAAACTGAGTTAAAAATAGTGGAAGAAAAGCCGTAATTATTCTTATTGTTACAATCCATTTAATAAAATGCGACATTCTTTTGTTTTAATGAAAAAATCAGTTATTTTCATGAGAACGATTCGTTATTCCATCTCAATTTTTTTAATCTCCAATCGCAATAACGTAAAGTATTATTACCCGCGAACCAATAAGTCAAATTTAAGAAACAACCCACTGTTAGAAAGCTGAATGGCTACGCTTTAAAATGAATGTAAACTTTAACGTTTTCGTCTATTATTTGTTTAGCAATTTACATTTCAGTCGAGGATTTCGCTTTTTTTTATACACCCTGTATATATAAATGCATGTACTGTACAGTATAGGAGTATACTTAATCTAGTATATGAACCAGTAAAGCCGCGTCTTAAAATCTAAAATGGATAATAAGAGTTTTTCAGAATTCAAATGACTCTGACAAATCTAACCACTCACCATAATGGATTGTCTCGAAAATAAATTACCAAGACTTACATTGACTTCTCCGACTTCAGTGAAGGACGGCAAGAATGACGAAGCAATTTTTATGTCACAATTATCAAAAATCGTGCACCTGGGCTTGCACTCTGTCACTGTGCAGGACTACATGTGTTTACTGAGGGACATGAAATGGGAGCGGGTGTTCAATCCCATTTTTTCCAGCCAAAATATCGTCTGAATGCCAGTCACTCGACTGAATCATTTGCCAAATTCCATTCTCAACAGCAACATTGCTCTTACAAATGGTACAAATCCCATTCTTAGTGATCCAATTTCTATTTTCTCAGTGAGAATATATGCTACATACGTATATACCCATTTTATTGACCTCTTCATGCACGAGTCTCATTACTGATACCACACTCTGGCCACGGAGCTGTCTTCTTAATTATTATTGTAGCCATGTGTGTATAGTGAATGTTTTCTTCAGTCAAATGCATAATTTAGTGGTGAAAAAATATGTTTGATCTATATTATACTATAATTCATATGTTAAGCATGGCCATATGAGTCCGTAGCGAAATGAGGCAGGTAATAATAACTATAATAGTATAATCAAGGGTATAATAATAATTAACTATCACACTGTTTGTTGTTGTGGATTATATTGAGAATAAATTCAACGCCGTAAATCTCTAACTGTTCTAACACCAGTACTGCAGTAGGTGACAAAGCCGCTGGAGATATTCAAATTGATGATAACGATTATATAAGTGGTTATATACAACCACAGTTAATAGGTCTATTAACTGTGATACAACTTATTTCGCAAAAATGTTTTAAATTTTGCTACGTTGAGTTTGAATTACTGAATACTGAGTATAAATGCTTGAGTATGCTTAATTAGTATACATGCAGCTATTTCAATTAAAGTTGTGCGCGAGCAAAGCGGAAAAGCCGTATACGAGCGCGAAAGGCAGCTGGGAATCGCTAAAAACTTAATGAATTTTCATAGCAATTCCCAGCAGCTTTTCGCGCTCGTATTCGACTTTTCCGCTTTGCTCGTGGACAACCTTAATTGAAATAGCTCGAGCTCTATACTATAGTCGTAAAACGACAATGCCGTGTTTATAAGCGGTCAAATTAATTAACTAAGCATTAATTTAAATGTATTTTATTGGCACAATAAAAGGAAATTATTATATGGCAAGCATCACTTCCGGTGAATTGGCGGACTGTGATTGGCTGAGAAGCACTTTCAGCGGTCCATTATTTTCCCGTAATCGAGACCGTCGGTCCATTACGGGAAAGTAATGAAAATTTGAAAATTATAATTTAATTTGTTATTAATAAGATATCTGCGAAGTGGAATAGAAGGAATACATTGGTATTCTTTGTTTTCTTCGATCAAATGTGTATCACGCTACTAATATGCATTTCAAATCATGCATTTCTTGTTTGTTTCAAGTATAAATACCTATAAATGCAATATAATAAACTTTCTATTAGCCTCACTCGATCGGTCTTTACAAAGAAATATCAGACCTCGGTCCGATATTTCTCGCAGTGTAAAGACCTCGCGCTCGGTTAATAAAAAGTTAGTAACCGTGAATTAAGATACGCCCGCACTGTTACGCACAACACGTTGTAGTATGAATATATAATGTGAATATACAATAAAGAGCTGGCAACGAGGCATTCGCGTTTAGCTGCTTCGAGCGTCCCAGTCATGCTTCTCTACCATTTGTCGTCGGTTTTGCTTTTGTCGAAGCTTGTTCCGCTTCATGTTCTGTCCACCTGGGTTCGGCACTTCCAGGTCCAGTTTCGAGGTCTTTTCCCGATGCGAATCATTCTCTTGTTTCTCTTGGGACCATCCCCTTTCTGTTTCGCTTATTTAGTGTAAGTTATCCCCGTTTTCAGATGGGTGATAAGTCTCGATTGAGGATGGAGGAAGTAACATTAATTGGTTGGCTATAAGGAATCCTTATGCTGCATGATGTTTGATTATAGGTATATCAAACTTTCGTTGGTAGGATGCAACTACCTGAAAGTATAAGGAGAATTTCGACGTTTCGAGCGAAGACCCTACAGTTCTTGATTAGTTATGTTCATCTTAATCAGGGACCGATTCAATAATAAATGTAATTACAACCCGCACGCTTGAAATCACAGCGGGACCTACGAGAAAACTGCGGGTCTACGGAGTTTGTGAGAAAACTGCGGGTGTAGGGAGTGGGAACTTTTCGGATTTGCATGAACTCGATCAGCGTGTTCGAAAGTGTTAGTTCCCGTAAAAATATTTCAGATCTAAGAAATGCTTAATTAAAATCGTTTTCTAGGCACTTTTCGAGGTCACAACACAAGGACTAACGCTTCCGGAAAAACTATCGAATTTTTCCATGATGTTTTACAGAGAAACGTCACAGCTGCAACCCCCCACCCCCACCCCCAAACAATCATATGACGTTTCTCGTGGACAAAATCGATATGTGAGGCGGCCTTATATAAACACGACAAATAAATAATTGTATTAATCGTTCTTCATTTTTCATAAACATGTTACGTGTATTTTTGTGCTTTATTTTCTCCAGCAAATTCACCGTAGCAGAAGAAGTTTCACCGAATATGTCTTTTATCAGTTTTGTGTTGTTTGGCTTCGTGTTGGTTCTCACAGAGCATTTTGTTGCCTGTAACGTTCTTCGTGAAACAATGTCGGATGAAGTAGAGAAGAGAACTGTTGGTATCCCGGTAAGTTGCTGTCACTTAAAGTCTAGAACTGGGAAATAGTGTCATCATGCAGTGACAATGCCGTGTATTTCGTCTTAATTCAGTTAATGATCTAAAACTCATTGTTCCAACTAGGCCAAGTGTGTGTCTTCATGGCGTGGGATATAATACCTACTGATTTGTAATTGTAAGGAAGTTTACAGATTTCAAACTATAAACATACTCTTGTTTAAAATTGGTGCTCTACTGATCGGACTTGTATAAAGGCATACAGCTAATTCAAAACAGGTTGCCCTTCGAGACGTAAACCTTTAAAGTGCCTATATCATGGTTTTGGAGTTTGCATATCTCGAAAGCTTAGGGTATTTTAAAAAGACACTTTGCAATATATTTTTTTATTGAAAAATTTCATCCTGATGGATTTATTAGCTAATAAATCCATCAGGATGAAATTTTTTAATTTCTTAAAGTTACCGGACATAACGTCAAAAGGACAATTTTGTTGCAATGATACAAAGTGCCTTAAAATGCCCTAAACCTTCGAGATATGCAAACTCCAAAACCATGATATAGGCACTTTAAAGATGCTGTAAAGTCCGTAACGTAAACAAACATTTTGTTTACATTTTGAACTGCTATATTTGTAAAATATGATATTAACCGCTGAATATCTAACATGCACGTTTGTGGTTCGCTATGCTTGTAAATGAATATAAACTCTACGTTTCAATTCAAAAAAGTTAGAAAGATGCATGCAAAATTTGGGCAATGTTTATATCTGTAGGTCCTCTTTTGTCATGAGCAGAACTGATGCGCAGAACGGTTAACCGACTTTACAGCACCTTTAACCGAAACTAACTCTACGCGCAATAGTTAATCCATCCAGACCATAGTTGATATTGGCTGTATCGGCACGCGGTATTTTGACATTTAAAGCCTGTTTTCCACTAGGCGGATTTTGCGCGCGGAGCGGAATTTTTCTTTGTCTTTTCTAACTATTAGTTCCACCCGAGAAATCACAAGACAAAGAAAAATTCCGCTCCGCGCGCAAAGTTCCGCCTAGTGGAAAACAGGCTTAACTCTGACAGTCAGTATTCCGAATCAATGCATAGACCAACCTCTTTCCCAGGCTCTTCCCTGAGGGAGGAGCCTGGGAACGAGGTTGTGTATAGACAATCTCCTTCCCAGAGTATGCCTGTTCGCGGGCTAGGTAGTTTCATGCCACTTCCTAATCCGCGAACAGGCATACTCTGGGTACGAGATTGATGTATAGAGAGCTTTTTGTACCTAGTCATGTTTTTGACAACACGTACCGTCATCAGTAGATCAATTGAGCCTCTAATAGATGGCGAGTAATAAAGACAGCCGTTCATGTTTGTAATCCCGTAGACACGAACGTGAAACTTCATTGACTGCCGTTCTTGATTTCAATCAAGACCTGGCTGCTGACGGCATCACTCGCCATCTGTAATGTTTCAGCAAAGATTAGATAGGATAAAGATGTGCCACTCCGCGAAAATTATGCCCGAGATTTTTTTATAGCCGCCATTTTGCCAGTAAGTGTCAAATCCAACGCCATCATTCTCTAAATAGTAAAATCCAACGTCATCAGTCTCGCCGCCATTTTGGCAGTAAGTGAAAATTACGGACACGAAAACATTAGGGAAATACGTCGAGTGGCACATCTTTATCGTATCTAATCTTTGGTTTAAGGTTTAAGCTTTAGTTTAGAGTCTCAAATAACAACTTTTCGCGATCTGAATTAGGTGCACATAGCTTATTTATGAATTGCAAAAATTAGTATAGTATAGGTGCATGCCTATATGTCAACAGATCTTGGTGATTGTCTGCTTGTCTGTATATTCGTACAGGTTACGTAGTTCTGCGTGACATCTTTCTTACAAATTATGACAATACTTGTACCACAGAATACCACACAGAAGGCCATCTCCATTGTTTTTTGCGTAAACGCTATTCGCCATATTAATTATAAATAACACTAGAGGGTTATTTATAATATCTGTGCTATTCGCCATGATTCCCTAAACAGAAGTAGTCACCCCCCTGGAAATATTCAAAATGGCGCTGAGTGGGAGAAAGCCATGCCATTTCCTGTTGGTGATTACTTCTGTTTAGGTCGTACTTGCTGAGTGACAAATCATGAAGAATAGCGCTTACGAAAAAACAATGGAGATGGCCTTCTGTGTAGTATTCCGTGCTTGTACTTTGGTATTTATTGAAATGACACGTGTCAAATAATTCACTTTTCGTTTAGAAAGGAGGTTTGACGGTTAATATCGGACACGGGTTGCGTGACTTGATCGTCAATGGAAAAAGTGTTGGTATCCAGGGAAAGGTTTGTGAAGATTTATTTACTTACCACACAATTTCATATAGGAAAGAAAAGCACTGAATCCATGTAATAAATTTACGTGGTGTTTCCACAAACAAAACTATTATATTTTATCGCCATGCAAACATACAAAGAACTTATTCAAACTAGTCATCATCATTTCTTTAAACATATAAATATGAAACGTATTAATGCAACATTTGTGGGACTAATGGGCATTGCCCAAGGACAAATTGATTGAATTTTAGTTAAATTTGGATGAAATTTGGTTAAGAGCGAGGTTAGCAACTGTTGTTTTGATTTGCCAGGCAGAGTTAAAACTGCTGCCTGTAATTAGCATATTGTACAATTTGTGCATGATACATAACTTAATAGTTAATTCACTGGCGGTATGTGCAAGCGTACCTTATTTTCTAGAGACTTTCGGGAGACCCTCAATTATCTATTGCCGACTAAGCTAATTCCAATAATGGACAGGTTGGGATATTAGTTCACAACCTATAAACTGTGAACCTAGAAAAAACAGATAACTAATTAGTTGATCAGTCAATCGATTATGGACTGATGCAGAATTTTGTAATTTTTATTTCAGACTGTAGTTGCTTTCCAAGCAACGCTGACAACAGGTAGAATTGGACCTAACTACGCCAGCGGGGCCATTAAATTTAACGCCGTTACTCTGAACATTGGAAACGGTTATAACCCAAGCACTGGCAAATTTACTGCACCTATTGCAGGTTTATACCAGTTTACTGTCACGTACCTTCAGCAAAATGGATACAGCTCTTACGTTAGGTTGATAAAAGGAAGTAGTGTTCTCGGTGATATGCATGCAAACCACAAAAACTATGATCTGCTAACGAAAACCATTCTTGTGAATCTGACAAAGGGCCAAACATTCTGGGCTAAGTTGGAGAGAAGTAGTAGCTACGCTGTATATGGAGCGGGACGATATACTCAATTTGGTGGATTCCTTCTTTCAGCCGGCAATTATTAATAAAACTTTACCACGCAAAATATGCCTCACTCAGTTCACAAAATACGTAATCCTTAATTAAATTCTAGAACACCAGTAGTGGCATAAAGGACAATCGCGTCTAACTAAATGTACTAAATATAGGACGAGTGCCGGTTAGCTAGTAGTTGTATTGCTTCAGCCTTTATTTTCAAAATATTAAATAAAGCTTTCAAATAAATTGACTATTATTAGTGTGTTAATGTTGTTACCCGACAAACTACATGCATCCACGTAAACCCGGAGCGAGGATATTAATTACTCCGGTTATCTACACCCAGGATAAAGGCAGGATAGCGGATCTATATGCCCTACATTTGTGGCCATATTGTATGGGTGGTCTCAACACTGATTTCAAAATTTATGCATTTCTACTTTCAAAGAATTGTTGCCATATACACTATTTTCCACTTTATTTCAGTGTAGGTGCAAGTTTCTTAAATCATAATTTACAGTGTAAATTAAACGAGCGAATTGTATGATATGAACTGATTTCATTCAAAGACAAAGTTTATCCGTGATTATCTCGCGGATTAATTGATTTTGAAACGTTTTACGAAACGTCTAAGGTGCAGTTTTACGTTCAATTGAGGCTTATATACAGGTGTCCCTTTCTGGTCCTAGCGTTATTTAATATTTCCGGATTTTTGTACGTACAGTGGATCAAACAATATACTCAACCATTCGCCTTCTAGAATCACTTAAGTTGCCAACTATCCAAGTCGGCAGACGTCTGCTGAAGCGTTCGCACTGTTCCATGCAGGCACAGACTAGAAACATACAGAGACGTAACTGACCATCGTAAACACTGCAGAAGATTACGTTATCATGTACCCACTTTTTTTCAGGCGACTGGGCGAAAAATGATCAATTGCGCCTGTTCGGCAAGTTGAAGGTGAGTCGTCATCAGGTCGTCATCCAATCAGATGCATGCATCTAGTAACTTGCCCAGCATGCGCACAAAAAATGTGGGTACACTAGTTATGTCTCTGTATGTTTCTACTCTGTGATGCAGGTGGAAAATACCACTGAAACAGTAGTTTGCGATGTAATATAAAGGGGTGTGGGGGTGCATGAGGGTATAGGTTTCAATGATAAAAACCTTGATTGATATGACTGCATGTTTTTAGTCATGCATTGGAATATACCAAGATATAGATCCACGTGAGCAACACTTACCTTTGCAAGTTCTAGTTTGACTCATTAAAACATTAAACTGATATAGTGGCCAAGATCGAAGGAATAAAATCTAATCCCGAAACTTTAGACTGATATAGTCGCCTAGAAAAAAGGCGTAAAATCCAATTAAGCTTCCATGCCAAAACATGAGCCTGTTAAATTGGTTTGCGTCTTTGATCGTGCGCACGAGCAGTTGCTATTTTTGTCAGTTCTTGGTTTCACATTTCATTTGAGCATCATAACAAAACTGTTTATGGCGGCCTAAGGGAAGCGACTTCGACCGGAGCTCGAGGAAGGAATCTACATAGTTGTAGAGGATAGAGTGCCCTTAGAACGTGCTAACTATCCTCTCATCATAGATAATGGAATAAGAAGGATAGGAAACTCCCTATTAAATTCTCTGCGCGTCACAATTATGTTGAAACTTCCGGTTAAAAAAATCACGTGATTGTAAAGCGACACAAAGACCCATTGTGCTATGTGAAACCATAGAGGTGAAACACGATATGCGATGGATTCATTCACAAATATTCATTTATTCGCTAATTTATATTCGCGTTATGACAGTCGTGAATATATCATGCCGCAAAACTGCGCTTTCCTCAATTGTCCACACAGTAGACGATACGAGGGGATAAGTTTATTTCGAATACCTTTTCCAAAGTCGTCGGACTCCGAGCACACATCACTGCTTAAACTCGAGGCTAGAGAAGCTTGGAAGACTGCCATTCTTCGTACAAGACAAGAAACAAGTGATCTAAAGGAAAGGTTTGTGAAGCACAATATTTTCCTTTGTGAAGTTCACTTTGAGCAAGATTGCATCGAATCATTTCCCTTCACTGATGCACACGGTGATGAGAAAATACGAAAAAGGCTTCAGACTGGATCTGTTCCCACATTAAATTTGCCAGTGAAAACATTGGATAGTCTGCCTGGATCTTCAACACCACAGCAAAGAAGGACTATTGTTCGTCATGATGCGCCATCTACAAGTACAGCTTCGGCGTCTCGTGCCGATAAAACTCCATCATTCGACGATTTGAAAACGTATTTTAAACGCGAGTATTTGTACTTGCATGGCTGGACTGTGAACGTTTCGGACACCAACATAATCGTTGAAATGCGCGAGCAAGGATATCTTATCCCAAAATATTACATACAAATCGAAGAAACTTTAGAAGTAACTGTGTCTGTTTATGGAGCTACAGTGCCTGACACATCTGCATTATTTCCAACGGGTATCTCGCGCCTATTATGTAAATACAAGGACTTGCACGATCTGTTGTGTGGTCTTGAGATCTGCTGTGGAATTTCCCTTATTTCCGTCGAGCCGGAACAACGCGTTTCCGATGAAACCTTTTTGCTTGTTATCCCGTCAGTTGCCGCGAAGCAACAATCTCCAGTGAATTACTGCCAAGTAAGAAGATCTTTAAAGTGTGAGGTACTTGTTGAACAAGGAACTAATAAGTGTAGACCTTGTTGTAAAATTGATGAGAAAATGAAAAAGGAAGCTAATCCTGTGGTTCATACAACTGTATATGGTCCTGTGACTCCTGTCTCTCCTGCAAAACGTAAAGCACCACTAAGCAAATGTTCGTCCGCTAAACTACAGGCAACAGTAAAAGACGAAAGACTGAAATTGAAAGAG